TTGGTTGGTTGGTTGGTTGGTTGGTTCGTTCATTCCTCGTTTGTTCGTTCGTTCTTCGTTTGTTAGTTAGTTCATTCGCGAGAGGCACGAGTGCGCTACCGCTCGTTTATAAAATATTATATAAACTAGACAAATTAAGATTTTGCAGAGCCTTACGTGTTGTTACTAATCCAGAAAACACCCAGCATTGTCCATATTTCACGGGATTTTTCTTTTTAGAAAATTCCTTTAGAATGGCAACACTGCCTGCCCATGCTCTCGGTGACGTGCCGTCTGCATAATATCCGCTCCAATTTCCAATAAGAACACCATCATCATCCTTTGAGTTCACCTTGAAAGCAAAATAAAATCGATAAAAAAATCTGCTCATAAATTAAGAAAATAAGTGCACTGCGAATGTAAAGCTAAAGTTTCAAGGTGCAACATTGCTCGCAATTTTCCAGGCATTCGATGTCACGATCCATGTTGCAAGAATATCTGCAAGAATATCTGCTGATTTCTACTATTGTTTTCCGATCTCAGAAGTGAGCCTAAGACCGCAATAAAAAAAAATTTGTTCTCTTATAGCTGAGATTCCGGGTTCACATGAGCAACGCAAATGTAAGCGCAAACACAAGACATATTAATCATGAACTACAAAAACTCGTGAACGTAAATCCGGACAAGGAATAGATTAAAAATAATCATTTGCATGACGGTGTAAACATGGTTTGCGCAATTGCAAATGCAAGCGCAAACTTTAGCAATAATTTTTTAAAACTGACTTAAGTTATAGGTTATAAGAAATACAAACATAATTTAGATCAATCAAGGGAGCACATTAAAATTTTGTTTGTGTAAAGAAAGTTATTGTTCTTGGTTGATCTATCTAGGGCAGGCAATCCATCATGCAACAGGCGTTCCTCGTAGTGTTTTGGTTTCGGCCGATCCGAATGGCTTACGATCGTGTAAGGAAGGGAATGACGAGTGTAATAGATATTCGTCGGTTTTCGGAGTAAATTCGCTAGCCCGACTAATGCAAGGAACGCCYGCCATAAAGTGTAGCGCGCKCAAGTAAATAAGCACTACAAGGAACGCCTGTCATGTCTTAGATTACGTGCGCTAAAATCGAAGATAAACCAACATAATCAAAATATTAATGTGCCCTCTTGAAACAATTTTTTAAAAATGTCTTATAGTTACCATTTTAGATATAGCTCGACAGATACGGTGCGGATAACCTCGCACTTGGTCTTTCACTTCTGCCATATCTAGTAGCTTCAAGCAAGTCTCAAGAGATACCGATTCAAACTGAAAAGTAAAATAGCCATATGTTTACACCCCTGGCTCTCATCCATATCTTTGTATAGAAAGAGGGACTTCTATAGCTTGAAAGTACGTAACGTGTGCTGATCTTAGACCACATGTCATTCTCTTGAGAATAAGATTCTTTGTTTGAGTTGCATCCATCATGAGTCTTCTCATACACAACCGTTAAGCAAAGTAATGATACTCTAGGGAATGACACGTGGTCTGATATAGGAAAACATTACGCCTGTAACTAATTTTTGTAATACAAGTAAGGTCGGGAATATTATTTTGGGTAAAGCGATAAGCAACTGATTGGTTGTAGGCAACTACGCCAAAATGACGTAAAACTTGTTCTAACCAATCATATTTTGAGTACTTGTTTCAAAAATTTGAAATTTGAAAAAAACAACATTCTTTTGGAATTTGCTGCGATTACTAGATTAATAACACGATTACATTGAAATCTATTGTCTCCGGAGGGACGTTTATCGCTAACATCCCTCTGGATGAATAGTGAGGATGGACGTCTAGTCTAAATTGAGGATTCGTCGCAAATGCGTTCATCAAATCGTGACTCTTTCTTACGATTTGTTACGTAATAAGTTATCGGCATTTTCGAGTTGAAACCGCTCATCGTATTCAGTTAACAAAGAAAATGCATGCTCACGATTCCCTAGAGTACATCATAATCAAGGCCCATTAAAAAAGACTGTACTTTATTCCGCTCTTGGTTAACCAAAGTCAACTATATTTTGGTTTACCCTCCTCCTCGGTAATTATAATATTACTACGGCGTCGGGGCTACAACAAAACCTCCCTCGCCTTTCGGGGACATTCAATCACTAATCTCCCTAATGCTATTACTTATAATTATAGATCAAACTTCAAACAAACCTGCCCAAAGTTCCAAGGGATGCCACGATAACGGTTTTTGCTGCCAATCCATATACGACCGTGCTCATCGAGGACATACTCTTGGCGGTGATCTTCATTCTCCATGAAAACACTGTCGTCTGTAATAATGCATATCACATTCGTTCTGGGATTTACGTCACGATTTTTGATCGCGGTGTGTTATTATAGGATAGACTTTGAGCACTCCATCTATTTCCCTTGACTAGTCTGGCCGAGCGGGGATTAGTAGCTAGTCTAATATCTCCAGGGGAGGGGTCTATGGAGGTCCTTTTGTCCTTCACTCCCCACACCCCTCCTCCAGGGATATCAATAGAATCTGGTTATGGCATAAGCACCGTTTTACTTGTGCATGCTTTATAATATCTGGGTTAGAAAAAAATCAAGAAGAGGGTCCTGAACGGGGGTTCCAATCCCATTCCAACCCGACTTTTTTTTTTATACATATCACTTTCCACTTCTTTTTCTTTAAAAACATTTTCCCATTCCTATTGTTTCATTCCCAGTGATCTAAATTTCATTTTCCCCCTAGGAAAATAGGTAAATTCCCAGTTCTCATTTTACCCCTTCATGCAGCAGTACAATGCAAGAAAGATACCTTTGCACCATGCGTTGAATAGAATGCATATTTTCTCGGCTTCAACCTTTCTGTAGCTGCGGTAATTCCCATCAAGATCTTTGGATCTGGTCTCAACAAACACTGAATACTCTCCAACGATGGCATCAGCAGGTGACATGACGGACATTTCCACAATTTCTCCACGATGTTCTACTATGTGCATACCCCACGATGACGAGGAAAGACTATCGGCGGCCTTTAAACGTATGATTGATTTCTTGCTTTGCTTGGGACGAGAGCCTGTGGAGAGTAATTTTAAAAGATCGTTTAGCTGGCAGGCAGGCACGCAGGCAGGCAGGCAGGCAAGCAAAAAAGAAAAAATACAAGCACACAAACTAACCAGTAGCAAGCTGTAGGATAATTTGATGTTGTTCTACATTAACTGGCCTGTCAAATGTTACGGATATCTTGAACTGTTGTCCTCGTCTTACAATGAGATTCTTGCTCTCGTATTCATCGGTGTGATGTGCTTTGCGGTTTTCTTCCACACGAAAGTCAATTTCAGTATGCTTCAGTCGTGAATCTGCCGCAGTAGAAATACATTTTTTTTGGTGAAAATCATCAGAGAAAGTTTCTTCCTGTACAAATAAGAGTGACGAGCGAGGGAGGAATATTCACAAATACCCGCAGAAAATGATGTACAACTTCAACAAACAGTACATACAAACACTTGAAAATCTACAGACCTTCATTTGATCAAGTGAATATTCTTCACAAAATATCGTTGAAAAAAGATCAATGCTAATTAATTTTTAATGATAACAGAAAAGCCCTTTGCAAATGTTTTTTTTTTCACGGCTTATGCAAATCGAAATGCTGTGCCGCGATTTGGCGCTAACTTACTTTTGTGACCACAAAAACAATCGCTCGCACTCACCCCACTCTCCCAGTATGTATCAATCGGTTGGGTTACCTGTGGCATTTCTGTTTTCTGATTGCAGCGTCTTCATACTCTCAGCAAATATTTCATCAGACACATTGTTCCTTCGTCCATCCTTTTGATCACCGCGTCTCCCTCGTCTAAAATAATTAGAAAACAAACAACATTTCAGCTCGTGGGTGGTCGCGGTATTTTCAAAGAAAATTTGATTTAACTTTTCTAACATTTGCAGGGCCCGGTTGTTCAAAACCCCGATTAAACTAACCTAGAATTAGGCCCAAACAGGGTTTACCGCCGTTTGCATTACTACGTGGCCACCCCAGACACAAATCGAGTCGTCTAGTTTGCAATAGACTGCCGTCAATCAAACACCTCATTCTACTTGGATGTACTCAAACTCTTTGCAATCGCTTTCGGAACTTTCCTTCATGATATCTGACTGAGAAAGTTTGATAGAAAAGCCAACTCACTGATCCAAACGTGTATAAATGGCGTCAACGTGAATGATTGACAGTAGTCTACTGCAAAATACACGACTCGCTTTGTGTCTGGGGTGGCCGCGTAGTATTGCAAACGACGGTAAATTCTCTAATCGCGGTTTAGTTAATCTGTGGTTTAAATATCGTTGTTTAAAGCTAGATTAGTGGGTCGATTAACTAACCCCCTATTACGCGACTTAATCTACGATTCCCAAAATGCACTAGTGTTTATGTTATGCATGTATTTATGTATTTGATTMAACATTCCCACATGTAAGTCTCTAAGGACGCTTGGCGATAGATCTTTTTGCATGGCTTCTCCCAAACTGTGGAATGGGCTCCCAYTGGACATTCGCAACATCTCTTCTCTTGTCAAATTTAACACAGCCCTAAAGTCGTATTTTTATAAGATGGCATATTTTAATTAGATTATTCTTTATTTGATTAAATATTTTCAATTTATTCATTCATTTATTTATATATATATATATGTTTGGTTGGGTTGGGGAAGGGGGGATTTAATAATTTTAACGTTTTTCTTCATGTAAATTATTATCATTTTTAGTTATCTTTTCTTGTTAGATTGTAATGCGCATTAGAAAACAGCAATGTCGATTCTTGCGCAATATAAATTAATAAATTATTATTTATTAAATGGGGGGGGGGGGTTTGGGTGTGGCTTCGACATCTGGCATTATATTTATTGAATTTATTCATTTTTTTATTATATTCTATATATTACTTACCGTTAGAGTGATGCCTTAAGGCTTTACCGACTCAATAAAGATGATTATGATGATGCAGTTTCACTCGAATTTGTGTCGAAAAAAATCCCTATCATCCCTATCTACATTTATTATTGCATGAAGTCACAACCAGCCGCAAAACTTTTTTAAAGATAATCTGACTATAAATTGGTTAATGTATGTTCGCTCAAATTTCAACCGATAAAAATGTAAAAAATTCAATTTTGCAGCTTATTTTCAAAGATAGCCCAACTTTCATCACTCAAGAAGTATCCTTTCCAACTTTTAAAAGTGTGATTTAAGAGTGCTATTGTTATGATCGATTGATGTTTAGCAAATATTTTCCTTATATCTAATATATCCAGTCAGAAAAAATGTTTACTGGATTTTGATTAATATGAATACTGCAAAAAGAATTGCGGCTGTAGTCACTTATTACAAACTCTAACTTTCAAAAGACAGAAATACAAACTTTCCTTCACTTTCGTTATCATTTCAACATTTCATAACCAATTTTTAACTCGTGGATACGCGAAGCGTAGAAACGAGTTATTGTGAGGGGTCTGAATATGCAAATGTGTCACTCGCTCACTCACTCACTAAGATGTTAGCAGATCGATAATTAAAAGTTTATCGATCGTCTTACGTCATCCGATCACGAATGTTACACGACACTAACAAGAACAAAGCTCTTATATCATATAGATTACTTTGATATTTATATGAGGAAACGAAATGCTCATGTTCCATGTGGGATATACATTTCTATCACTTGTAGACGCCGTGGGGACCCACTGTGCATGCGCACACTCGCACATAGTTTTATCTTCGAATTATTCATATTAAAATCAAGGGAAAATGCAAGTTGAAGTAAAATTATACAATTAACGCCTGAAATAAAATTTCAATGAGTTAGACCTTTTTTTCTGGTGTATTTTAAAAAGTAAACAAAAACGCTTATTTATAGGTACAACGTCAACATTTCGATTTCAGAAGACTCTTAGATAGAGCCGGTTATCGAAAAAATTAATTAGAACTCAAGAAGAGAGTCTGATTTTAAGCTCTGGAGGACTTTATTCTCCATAGAGACAGCTCAAAGTCACGGCGGTATTCAGCAATAAAATCTCATAAATTCGATCGAGCGAAGTTTTATTATTATACTGATCAACAGTTGTATTTTAATACTAAGTGACTTCTTAAGAAAATAATCAATCAGCGTAGATGTACGTAAATCGTAGAAAAAATAGCAAAAGACGAAGAAAAGACCAATTCCAATGAAGTTTTGAAGGAAGTTCGGCCAGTTTTGTCATTTAAATAAGTCGATTGATCGCCACGCATTACAAACAGCCGAAGCAATGCTCAGATTGTATGTTGAAATGTGCGAAGGTCTAACGAGAATTCGCCTCCRCAAATAATCATTAATTTACCGACTTGGATGAAGACAAAACAAATAGCATTTTCTAAACGTATTTCTGTAAAATATTTGCTTGGTTCACAGTGTAAATAAGTAGTTTCATTCGAAACAAATGTAGGAGTCGTGACCCCTGAAGGTCAAGATAAGTAGTAATGTAAATCAACACGCATAACGCAACGCTTTATGTTGATCGTCCCGATCGGCCGATTACCTTGTATATTCAATTTTGAGCTCGTAGGTCGAATGATTCCTGGAATAAAACACACAGCCCGCCTTTAAAATTAAAAACAGAGAAAGCGTTTTCAAATAGATCTTCTTCCAATTAATATACTCTATACTTGTTGACTCAGTTGACTCAATCGAAGTCGCGAAGTCGTCTTTCGTATTTAAATTGTAGTTCAGACAATTAATTCATCACATAATTCGCTTCCAAACTAAACAAAATAGCGAAGAACTAGGTGTTAAAAGGAAAATGAAAAGGACGATTACTCATCTTACTAGATAAATTGAGTATTTAAAATATGAAATCGAGCGAAATATTTGGAATCCTTTGAGAATGTCAACAAGCATAAGGAGGGCACAGGAAGACCAATCTTCGAAAAGTGCAACAAGTATCCACGAGTTCGCCAAAGGGCGTTTGATTAAATATTTCAATTCCTTTATATTAATTATTGGAACAAAAACACGACTTTATTTTTCCAGAAATTTGTGATCAAAACTTAGATAGATTTGAAATGAACTGCTCTTGATCGGAGCTCAATATTCTCGTTTAATGTGCAAATGTTATGGGATGGACCGCTCTCGGTACGAGCTACAGGATCTTCATTCTACTTCTCTTCTTCTGTGTTCTATACTCTATCTCTACTCTTCTATACTCTGCTCTTCTATACTATATCTCTATCTGACTTAAACTAATTACATGAGCTCTATT